CAACTCTCTTCTAGAACTGTCCCTGTGTTATCCATACATCTCTCTTGTAGAACTGTCCCTTTGTTATCCATACATCTCTCTTGTAAAACTGTCCCTGTGTTATTCATACATCTCTCTTCTAGAACTGTCCCTGTGTTATCCATACATCTGTCTTCTAGAACTTTCCTTGTGTTATCCACACATCTCTCTTCCAGAAGTGTCCCTGCGTTATCCATAAATTTCTCCTCTAGGACCGTCCCTGTGTTATCGATTAATCTCTCCGCGAGTGCCGTCCCTGTGTTATGCATACATTTCTCAGTTAGTACTTCTAAAGCTGCCTGTGATACCTGATTATCTTAAATTAGACGCATTTGAAGAAGATATATCAGAAACAATTGGAGCTTTAGAGCAAGTTTAAACATCTAAACCTTTTCTCTTTCATGCAGCTTTTAAATTTTGTGGAAGGATACGACAATGGGTCTGGATTGAGCAGCCAATCTTTATCACAAGTGGTCGAGAGAGTGAAGTCCAATATAGCATGGATCAAAAGAAACGAAAAAGACCTGGAGAACTGGCTTAAATTTTTCTTCTCTAAAAGAAGAGAGTAAACAAAACATGGTTTTGACTTAAGCGACCCAGCTAAACACTAATAAACCATTTAGGATTACTTCGAAATAAAAATGCGTATTATTATAACACAACAAATGCAGTTTTAAAAGGTAAAGCTCAGCGGGTGAGCGGCAGAATAATTCTAAAATCAATTAACCATTTCTCTCTGTGATGAATACCATAAACTGATGAGGTGAAACTCTCTCTCCTTAAGGTCGATTACGGATTTTGTGCTCAGAAAAATGTTTTAGCCATTCGCTAAGAAACTAATTGTAAATACGCCAAAACAGTCTTGGCAGAGCTGCTTGTGAAACTACCCAATGGGTCAATCAAACGAGTGATTGGTTGGAGGAAAAAAAAATAGACAGTCAAAGACTGCTACTGGCATAGCACAACGTTTATAGCATTGAAAAGAACTGGAGGTTGTATAATGATGCAGGAGGTAGTGTTGCAGAATGTTTGTCTCACATGCAAAGCAGAAAAGCTGCCGCATCCCACGTATTTATAAGTACCCTGTTCCACAAGAGAAAGATGATTCAAGAATACATTGTCTATTGAGATTCAACCAATGATTGAAATGGTATCAAACAATAGTATTTACAATGAAAATAATAATAACAATAGTGATGTAGTAATAGTTAAAAGGTAATTTGGTTTTATAAAATAAGTTGAAATTGTAAATTGGCCACCGTAAAAGCTGTTAAAGTGCCGATGAATGTAAAATTTTTTTTGCCCTGTTTGTTTGCTTATGTCTTGACGAACACAGCCAAGCGTTTTTGACCGACCAAAAGCACTTTCTTGTATTATTTTTTGAACCTCAAAGTTTGGATTTCGCGATCTGAAATAGGTCCAGTTTGCGCTCGGTCAAATCTCTCATCTTACACAAGAAGTGAAGTGAAGTTGGTGGTTGTGAAGACGACAGTTTCCTGGCGGACAAGAGGGCAAAGAAGGGAGCTAAAAATTGTTGCGCGGCCGGTGGCCCCAATAAAGTGCATTGCTCCAACAAAACCGGAACATCTGAAGTTTCCATGCATTACTTTCCCAAGGAGGAAAGTTTGCGGCAGAAATGGATGCGATTTGTCCGGATAAATCGGAAAGATTTCGTGCCGAAGAAGTCGTCATACCTGTGTTCCGCTCACTTTGACGATAGTTGTTTCGAACACAAGCCGATTTCTTTAACTGGAGAAGCTATTCAGTTAAAAAAACGGCTGATGAAAGGTTGAGTACCAACGAGGACTGATGTTGTGCCCTGTACGTCTTCTTTGACTGACCGAAAGCGGCGAAGAGTAAGTGAAGTTTATTTACTCTGTGCTAATTTCATAGCACGTGGCTTTGTTTTGTATTTATATGCCTGAAGGAAACTTTTTCCGTTTTTAATTTGGAAAATAGGTGATATATTTTTTTATCACTTTAGAAAGTTAAGAAGAATCGAAATTCATTGCTTCAAGCTGACTCAGCGAAGGATTCAGCAAGCGAATAAAAGAAAAAAACTCACCAGA